GCAGCGCTGGGAGTGGCGGCTGCTCAGTGCCGGTGCTTCCCTCCCTGTCCTCCCCAGGTGTCCAGCAGCTGCGACTACGTGTTTGTGAGCGGGAAGGAGACGCGCGGCTCCATGAACGCCCGGGTGACCTTCAGCTACGAGCACCTGAGCGCCCTGCTGGAGATGACCGTGTGGGTGCCCAAGCTGCCGCTGCACATCGAGCTGTTGGACCCCAGGCTGAGCCAAGTGAAGGGCTGGAGGGTGCCCATCCTGCCGGACAGGAGGTGCGCCCCGGCATGGGGGGCGGAGGGGAGCTCACGCCCCGCGGGCCGGGGAGTGGGGGGCAGGGGACTCTGCCCTTGCCCAGCTGTGCCAGTCACAAATGCAGGTCCCGTTGGCTTGGTGCTCCGCTCGTCTGGAAATCAGGCCCTGCTGCTCTGCGCTGACTGCAGCTGGAAGCTCCTCCGGGCAGGGACCCGGCCCAGCTCCCCTTGACGGCCTCCTCCCGGCAGTAATGGAGCAGGCTTAGGCCCTGTGCTTTGAAAGGCCAATGGCGACTCCCTGCTCGGCCACTGGAGGGCGCCGCCGAGTGAAACAAAGCCCCCCTTTTCCGAAGGGGGCAGCATGCTGCCCGCATGGAACCCCACCACCTGCGGCCTGAATCCCCAGGGACCCTCATGCTGCCCCCCCAGCTCCGAGGGGCTGGAAGAGCTGCCTTTGCTGGGTGTTTCTAGGGCACAACACTCTGTGGAGACAGTTCACAACTCCACTGGGCTCTGAGGGGAGAGAGGGCCTGGGGCGGAGGCCGTGCAATACACATACATGCCCAACGCCTTTGCTTTGGAGAGGCACAGAGCCGGAGGGGGACAGGGATGGAGGGAGGTGGGAGATCCAGGGAGGGCTCCTTTGCCCATGCTCCAGGATGGGTTCCTGGACACTACCGTAATTCCCCCAATAAAGAATGTACAGCGCCCAGCACAACGGGGTCCTGGTTCAGGACTGAGGTGCCTAGGAACTACCGTAATTCACCTAATATACAGAGCACACGCCCTAGACACCCTTTCAGCTCCTATTCCTGCAGCTGGCTGAGGCCTTTCGTTCAGGATGCACCAATAGTGCTGGCCCCGGCCCTTTACATTAACCCCATCCCCTCCAACACCAAAGGCCACGTGCCGTGGGATCTGCCGGCCTGTGCCACCTGCATCCAGAACCCTTTTGTCAGCCAGCTGCCCGTGTGGTCTTCTCCGCCCGGGCGTGCTTTGCTATCTGTAGCAATTCTATTGCACATCTCGATTTAGGTACAGGCCTCACTGCTGAATTGCAGCTACTTCTGGGGTGGAGCATGGAGGCTGCTGAACTGCACGGTAACGGGGCTGGAAACGAAGGAGCCTGGCGTATATATCGAGCCACCTGCGAGAGAATCATAGATCTGTAGGGCAGGCGGGGAAATCAAGAAATCTTTTCGTCCAAACCCTCTGCGCTGAAGCAGGAGCAAGTAAACCTAGACCATCCCTAGACCATCCCTGCACATCTTTCTGACAGTGCAGCGCCCGGAATTGGATGCAGTGCTCCAGCTGAGGCCCCCCCCCCCCAGTGCTGACAATTACCTCCCGGGTCCTGTTAATACAGCCCTTTTCGCACCTGCCTCACGCTGTTGGCTCCTGCTCAGTTTGTGATCCCGGGTAGCCCCCCCAGCTCCTTTCCAGCAGTATTGCCACCTAGCCAGTAGCCCATTCCTGCGACGAGTCACTGGCCTCCGTTACCTTGGTACCCGCTCGCTGCCGAGCCGGGGCAGCCCCAGCCAGGGCAGGGTGGCTGATCTGTCTTGTGCCCCCAGGTCAGTGCGGGAGAGCGAGGATGACGAGGACGAGGATGAGCGGAAGCAGAGCCGGGGCTGCACCCTGCAGTACCAGCACTCCACCCTGCAGGTCTTCACCCAGTTCCACACCACCTCCTCGGAGGGCACCGACCAGGTCATCACCATGCTGGGCCCCGACTGGCTGGTGGAGGTCACCGACCTGGTCAGCGACTTCATGAAGGTGGATGACCCCCGGGTGGCCCAGCTGGTGGACAGCAGCACGCTGGCCGGGCGGGAGCCGGGCACCACGCTCTTCAAGGTACGGGCCCCTCACCCCCTTTCCTCGGGGCAGGGGGAACCACGGGGCTGGAGCTGGAAGGCAGCGATGGAACGAGCCCTGCGTG